TTTGCTAGAATATTTTTTTTTTAAAATTTGTAAATCATATTTTTTTATAAATAATATATAAAATATGATTTCTTATTGGATAGTTTACACATATTTTTTAAAATTATATATTTTATAAAATATAGTGTGGCCATTTTTATAATAAATTTTGCAACTATTTATTATCGCATATTATCTTAGCTAAGTATTTCAAGTTTTAATTCATTTATAAAAAATTAGAATAAAATATATTTGATTATAAATAAGTATAAAATTGGCTATAAAATGTTTGCAAATTATTTAATAAAGTAAATTGTTTAAAAATATATGTAAAATACCAATAAAATTAGTCTAAAAAATATTAAAATTACTCTTAAATAAATTTTATTAATAATATTATATTTTTTTAAAAATTTACCAAATAATATAATTTTCTATTCAAATATAAACCTTATAAACATTAAACAAAGTTTGATAAAATATTTATAGAAGAAAAGAAATATTTTCTCCTATAAATATTTCAAATTAATATTAAATTTAAAGTAACGAAATAAGAAAAATTTATAAACAATAAATTATAAAATATCTTAAAGAAAATTAATTCATTAATAGTTTGAATATTTTTTATATTTTTGAAAAATTTAAAATTACTAAGAAGAGATCTGAACCATTCAATGCAACACACGCAATATTTCTTCTCCATTACGTGAGGATCTATACTGGTTTCTAATTGCCCATCAAAATAGCTCCGATTTAATCTTTTTATTTATCCCATTGCTAAACAAAATTTAATAATTTAATACTATATCTTTTTAGTCCAAGGAATTTTTTGACTTAATAATTCGATTTCGAGTTGTGTTGGGGTTAGCTTTTAATCGGCTCAATAGATTTAGCGCGGCTCGAAATCGGCTCGTGGCTCGTTATATTTGATTTTGAGCCAAGCCGAGTCGAAATTGAACCGAGCTCGATCCGAGTCAAAATCAAAACAAACTGGCTCAAATTGAGTTATTTGGATCTATTTCAGCATGAAATCAACTCAATCCAGCCCAAAATTGAAACTAACCGGCTAAAATTGAGTTATTTGGATCCCTCCTAGGTCAAAATCCACTAGAAATTGGCTCATGACTCATTATATTCAATCTTACATAGCATTATATATATAATTTTTATAATAAAACCCGTTCTAGCTGATCCATATATAACTTGAGATCGGCTAAAAAAAAATTTATCCAAAGTTTTGAGTTATAGCCTAGCTCGTCTATTTCAATCCAATCTCGATCCGAGCCAACAAATTGATTTTCTGAGTCATTGAGCCAGATTCAAGATGATGAACTCAACTTGTGCAGGTCTTGGAGTTGGAAGCCGATCCTCTGTTTTGGTTCTGCTCGACCACTCTATAACACCAACTGAACGAATGAATATCAGCAGCCATTTGGCTTCGCCATGTAGAAAAGTTCACATTTCATTTTCCCGTCGGAGTATTGCATCGATAATTGAATCCCTCGATTTCGTGCAGCGGAGGAGAAGCTCCGATCCAAACCAACCGCTGAAGGAGCGCGATCGGAAGGGTATTTCTTGAGATTCCTCATCATCTGTGAATCTAAGGCTTGAGTTCCAATTGTTTGTTCAATTATCCAACAATTTTGTATGTTTTTATTGAGATTTTGGAGATGGTTTCCGTTAATTCTGTGCTGAATTTCGGAGATTACTATTTTTTTGTTCATGAAGAGTTGATTTCTTGTTCAGCTGAATCTATTCATGAGAATTTTGATGAAATGTCTTCCAAACCCTTCCTCGAGAGATTAGCTGATGGGTTTGATGGTCTGGATGGGGACAAAAATTGGATCAGGAGTCTGCAAGATATTTTTGTTATACAACAAGATAGTCCTATAACCTAAATGATATTTATTGAAGAAATACAAGGCAGTATTTTTACCGTATATGAACGGAAAACAAATTTTTTTGTTGTTTATATAGAACCGGCTTATTGGTTAAGAGAAATATCTACATCTCATGACCAGTTTTATATCAGGATTTCCCGATCAAGTTTTGCCTATCGATACAACTTCCTTTTGGTTTCTTGTTCTTTTTATCACTTATTCTGGAATATGATTTTTCATTGATTTTCATTCAAGATCAATGTAATTAGAGAGTTATTTTATACATAACTTCATGCCGTTGCCTCTTTTTTGTTTTGAAAAGTTTGATATTTTTAAGTTTTATGAATGAGAAGGCTTAAAAGCTCTATTGATTATTCAATTTGACTAACTTGTTGCATCCCCAAAATATACTTTACCCTATTATGGACCTGACTGGAGCTTCCTAGTATTTGAATGGGTTTGCTGACTTTTGCATCTTGTGCGCTACCACTTTTAATGCCAGAATTTGACAGAGGGAAAGAAACTGACAAGAGAGCTACTCCTAGAGGTGAGTTCAAGAGATGAAGAATAAAGGCACGCAACAATTGTTGTAAAAAACTATTCTTTTATTTGTCAAATAGGATTGTTATATTACTCTCGTGAGGAGTTTAGAAGCAATTTAGAAAAAGATCATTTTTGGGATTTAGTAATGGGTTCCCATCTTTATAGTCATATTGGGGGGATATTAGCCATTACCCTTTTAAATAGGCACTTCAATCTCCCATTTGAATGACAAATCCTTTAATTTTCATTGAAGATCCATGCAATTTTAAGAGTTGGAATCGTTAAGAGTATCCAATTTAACATTCTAAGGGACGGAGGACAATTATCCTTACTTGGTGAGGGATTCAGGCTTGGTAATTTTTAAGGTGTTCTTAGATAATGATTTGTCTTAATTCCTTAGGAGTTGAAGTGAACATCTCAACTCGATTTGATTTGAGAGGTCATATAGATGTGTGCAAATTCTTTATTTATGCTTATGAGTTATTTGTATATCATGATAACATGAAGAATGATGTGAAAATAGAACTAAGAGTTTAAGAAAAAAAGTATAAAGTAATCGAAATCAGTTGGTCAAATATAGGCACAAGAACTTAATTTTTGAAGCAACTATTAGAATTAAATAGGGCAAATGCAAGAAAATAGGGGAATTAAGGGTCATCTACTAGTCCAATTGTAGAAAATAGAGAATGCATAATAATAAAAATAGAATATATTATAGTATAGATTATATTGTTTTTAAGCTGTTCATGTTACAAACTCAAGTAATTTAATTGGACTTGTTTAAAACAATCTATTTAGCCTAATTTTCAAAATTACAATATTAAACCTAAAAAACCATTATTTTTTATCATAATTTATCTTGATGATTATAATTTAATACTCTTGAAAAGTATTCCTCATAATCACAATAAGAGTTTACGCATAATAGTTATTTTCTTAGTCCTCCACTTCTCTTTGGCAAGTGCATATGGTGGCACTTACCTCCTCGAGCTTTACATATTCATATTATTTTGAGCTTGTCTATTCTTTTTGAGAACATTTAAATCTTTTGACATAGTTTAAATTTTTTTATTTATCATTTGTCATGCTCTCACTTGATTTTTTTGTTAGTTTTGGCTTGAGAGATTTGATGTGTTTGTTTTTGGGGAAGAGTGCTATTTTTGCTTATTTTATTTACAAACTCGTGATGCTTCTTGTTCTTGGATCCATTATCTCTCTCGTGAATGTAGGCAATTGATTCGTCCAAACCACATAATTTTTGGTTTCTTTTTGTGGCACTTGCTTATTTTGTTATTAATTTTTTTTTATCATATTTGTACTTGTGTTAAGGAAAATACTTAACTTTCCTGTTGAATCACCTACCATAAGTGAATATTATAAATAGTTGAATATAGAAAGTAGAAATAAAGGAGACCAAACAACACAAGAAAATATCATGATTTAGGTGTTAAAACTAAAATGAGCTTACATCATTGAGAAATGTAAGAAAATTGATCGACTATAGAGAAAATATGCATGTTTATGAAATAAACAAGATATCAGAAGGCATTATTCCTTGAATCCAAGTACATTTATTGTCACCATTAAAGATAAGCCCGCCCTAAAATTTTATAGACAAATAAAATGGAAAATACTTATAGCGGGATAATATAAATAAATAAGATTTAACTAAAACAATAAATTACCCACCTAAAATTCATCAAAACCCTCATGCATATCGAATCAACTCAAAATTTGTAGCTCAATGTTGCTTTTCACTTTGTTGAGATAGTACTTTATGATCACATAAAATAGTTTTTCTTTTCTTTTTTCCCTACCTTTCTCTCACTCTTTATTTCTCTCTTTTTCTTTTTTTATATTCCCACTTTATTTTTATCTTATTTTCTAAACCCTTGCATCGAATCTTTCTTAACAACATGTAATCTACTACCAAACTCCAATGAATTCCCACAACCACCACAACATCATCATTGATAGAACAATCCCAGTTATTTATGATCATTCCTATTGAGTGTTATTTATGGTGTTATTATATATATATATATATATATATTGATATTATATAAATCTAAAAAATGTTAATTGTTTATCTTAAAAATTACATATTTTAAATATTTTGATTATCTTAACAATTTATTTAGTCAAAATCATTATCTTGACTTCATTATATAGAAATAAATTTTGAATTTTTTATACGATTCCTTTTGAAATCAAGCTTCTAGAGTGTTGTGCTACCTCAAAAATCTTCGATGCATATGAACTTAACATAAGCAAAAGACCTCTAGAGTACATTTTTTTATACTTTGATTGATTGATTATAATAAATGTATAAACTTGCCTACCACTAAGTCTTAGTACTTCTAAAGTTGCTTTTTCCTTACTCTAAATGAGATAATATTATGACCTAACACCAAAACAAATGGTGCACTATGATATCAATTCACTTAATCATCTCTAGTTAGGGGTGTAAACAAGTTGACTTGAGCTAAAGTCATAGAAAGCTTGAACTTGGCTTGCCTAACAAATGGTAGGCTTGAACTTGAGCCAAGTCAAGCTCGAGCTCAGTTTGCTGGGATAACAATGAGATCATGCTGGACTCATGAGCTCAAGAACTCTAAAAATGGGGAAGTCAGGTCAGGTGCTCATTGCTCACCGGAGAAGGTATCGACTAGACCATTGAGATGTCGTGACAGGATCTCATTGCTAGTTGGATAATGCATGAATGGGAATAATATGTAATCTTGATGGGAGCTGACTACTTGCTGGAGAAGGCATCTAAGAACAACACATTTGTAAATGTAATGGGTGCTTGTTGCTTTTTGGAGTAGACATTGATGGGATCTACGGGGATGTCATTATGGGAGCTCATTGCTCTCTAGAAGTGTTAGAATAATGGAGTCCGTGAAACAGGAAAAAAATGAAAATAAATTTCTTAATTTGAATGCATAGTATTAAGTTCTCTAAATAAGAATTAGTTGAGTTGGCTCGCAAGCCAATGAACCGATCGTCGTTAAGCTTGAACTTAAGTTTGCTTAATAATTGAGCTATAATTTGAGCTTGGGCTCAAGCACGCAACTCCATGAGCTTGTTAACGATTCGAGTTGACCTACAACTAAGAAGACTTTCTCTCATCCATATCCCCTTGTGCTAAATTGATCTAGAACCATGAAGATGAAATTAAAGCAACCCCTATTCAAAGTTGCATTATGTAGTACATATAACTCACCAACTTATTTATTTTTCATGATAGCTAATGAACCTTTGTAAATTTGAAGGACTTAAACATCTTCTAAGAACCTGCGTATTACTTCATTGAATGCATTTTAAGGTATCATATGTTTTTAGTGCTTAATACCTAAATGGCTCTAGTTACACAATCCTGCATATGTTAAATTTTGGATTTGAATTCATTAATTACTGTGGATAAGATTTTATCTTGATTTTTCAAGATCTATGTTTACTAAATTAAAATTCATTCACACTTGATTTTCAAAGATGATGTGTACATGATTAAATTCATATTCTATTTTTCATGGTTGTGCTAACCTCACTCAAGTTTAATTCTTTCACACTCAGTTTTTCTTAAAAGTGGCTATCAAACTCAATCTACATTAGATTCAGGCTTATTCCCTACTATGTCTAAATATTGTATAAAGAGTGTTGCATTATGTTAACTTATCTCACAACAAGAACCAACAAAAAGAGGAGAGGAAGAGGAAGAGAGTGGAGGGGGTGTCATTCGAGAAAGCAAGTTAAAAAATTTTTTGGGTGTTTGTAAGCTAAGTTTTCTTAGCTTTTTTTAAGAAAAATTAAGTGTTGCCATTTTTTGTTTTTTGCAAGAGAAAAAAATTTTGATCATAACAATGAATAGTTTTCATTTGAAATTTCATAATAGAAAGGAGGAGAGTAATTTGAGCAAAGACATTTCCTTCTTCACATATAGCCTTCACTTGACTATTTTTTCTCTTAGCTAAACAAAGTGGTATTTTTTGTCTATTTATTCAATTTTTAATGAAGTTTAATTATTCATGTACCTTCTGTGATGTTTAATGAATTATTTAATCTATCACAATAGTTGATGTAGGCTTAAAATAAATCATGTAAATTTTAGTGTACTTTTTTATTGTTATTGATCTCTTTTGCAG